CACACCTGGGGACATTGGGGGGACACCTGGGGACACCTGGGGGGACATTGGGGACATTGGGGACACACCTGGGGACACCTGGGGACACCTGGGGGGGCTGGGGGACACCTGGGGGACATTGGTACACCTGGGGACACCTGGGGACATCAATGGGGACATCTGGGGATATTTTTGGGGTGTTTGGGGACGTTTTGGGTCATCCCTGGGGACACCTGGGGACACCTGAGAGGACAGGGACACACCTGGGGACACCTGGGGGACATTGGGGACACACCTGGGGACACCTGGGGAAAACCGGGGGGACATTGGGGACATTGGGGACATTTGGGGACATCTGGGAACATTTTGGGGACACTTTGGGACATTTTGGGGACATTTGGGGACATTTGGGGGTGTTTGGGGTGTTTTGGGTCATCCCTGGGGACACCTGGGGACATTTTGGGACATTTTGGGACATTTTTGGGTGTTTTTGGTCATCCCTGGGACATCTGGGGACATTTTGAGGACATTTGGGGACATTTTGGGACATTTTTGGGTGTTTTTGGTCATCCCTGGGACATCTGAGGACATTTTGAGGACATTTGGGGACATTTTGGGACATTTTTGGGACATTTGGGGACATTTGGGGACACGGGGGGGGAGGGGAGCCTCCCCGGGGGTCGCTGTGGGGTCACTTTGGGGTTTTTGGGGGGGATTTGGAGTTTTTTGGGATTTTTTGGGGTTTTTGGGGAGTTTTTGGGCTGGTTTTGGGAGTTTTTGTCTGTTTTGGGGATTTTGGGAGTTTTTGGGGCTGTTTTTCGGGATTTTGGGGCTGTTTTGGGGATTTTGGGGCTGTTTTGGGGGATTTTGGGAGTTTTTGGGGCTGATTTTGGGGATTTTGGGAGTTTTTGAGGCTGTTTTGGGGATTTTGGGAGTTTTTGGGGCTGTTTTGGGGATTTTGGGAGATTTTGGGGCTGTTTTTGGGGATTTTGGGAGTTTTTGGGGCTGTTTTGGGGATTTTGGGAGTTTTTGGGGCTGTTTTGGGGATTTTGGGGTGCTGCCCCATGTGACCGCGTCCCCCCGCCCCCGCGGTTCCGTCACCGGCGCCGCTTCCTCCGGAGCTTCCTGGGGCGGCGGGGCGGCCCCGAACCCCCAAAATCCCCCCAAA